AGTGAGTTTCTGGGTTCTCGGTTCCGCTTTTTGGAGGATGTGGATTTTTTTAAATTGTATATATTATGGTTTTATGTGTTTTGTGGTTGTTTTGTTTGAATGCGTGGGTTTACTTAGGGTGAGTGGTGAAATTAGCGTCACCGTCGCCCCACCAGCAATGTATGTGTTTAAGGTCCATGGCGGAATATTTATAAAAGTACCTCATCGATCCTAATATAGTTAACATTAATAATATTGATCCGTGTTTCTTAGTGGTCATAATTGACCACATTAATTATTCTTTTTATCTAACGTTTTTGGTCCAACTCCTCATCTCGACCTACAACTGAAACGTCCTACTGATAATAGAGGAGTTGGTGTCCGAGGGGATCAAGTGGTGTTAGCTCAAGTGGTTAGACCAGCGGCGTATTGAGCAGAAGTTCGTGGGTTCGAATCCCGTTCGTGGCACTACTTGTTCATCTCAACCAAAAACATTAGATAGAAAGAATAATTATTTGGAAATATTAATATTGTATGTAGGTCGATGGAGGAATATCATCGAGTCCTCCATCGACCAAACAGAATGAGTACAATGTACATAGGTGTGAATGTATTTATTTGTGCGACTGTTTTATAGAAGCCCTCTGGAGCCTAATCCCGTTGGTTGAGAAGCAACGATCTCCTGGGCATCTGGTTTAAGTCGCTTAACCCATAAGTTAGGTGAACAACTCCCCTGTTGTATAGACCAAGGTCAACACATCGGGAATGACACATGCCTTCAGGTCCATTGTGCAGAGAAAAAGTCGCACGATATGGCCCAAACAAAAGGAATGGTGTCATGCTTTCCATACAGAGCAAAACAGAAAAATTGTTCTCGAGTTTTGCCACTCGTTTCTACGCCAAATGTTTCAATGGTTTAGTTCACCTTGGACTTCTGTTGAGCGAAAACTGCATTTTTTGGGTCTCTTAGACGGAGCTTTCGAAGTGGTATGGCACCCAGGTTTACAATGGGAATTTAAGATTCTTCCCAGTTAAATTCACTAGTTTCGTGGTCCGCTTGACCAATTAATATCTTTCAATTAATTAAAGTTTTTAGTTGAGATAAAAACCTTAATTAATTGAAATTCTTCCCAGTATTTATCACTTTATCGCCGATATAATCAAACTATTAAAATACTCAGTTTATAATTTTTTATCATGTCACATGGATTTTTTAATGACTTATTGTCTTTTTTATATTTGTAATTTTTTTAAACTTTTCTATGTGGTTTTTAAAAAAAGATTGTAGAAGCGTGTTTCATCATTGTAGATGCTGTTGGGTGTAAATTCCCGAAATCGTCTAAAAAAATTTAATGTAACAAAAAAAATTAATTAAAAAAAACCACATGGAAAAGTTTGTTTAAAAACCCATGAATTATAATCAGTTTGTGCTGTAGAATTAAGACTTTATTTTTAAATTTCAAAAAAAATTGTAATCACTTGCTGTTTTAATTTTGTGTGTTGATATTTCTGTTTGTTGTACGTAAATGTGACTGGCTCTTACATAGACTTTTATCTTTCACGTGATCGGAAGCCTTTTAATTTATGACATATACAAACAGCATATGCAAACTAATTAAACAGAGTTGGTTTGTCAATCCGTAAAACCTGCCGCTGAAAAACCGTGTCTGTTGTTATAAATCCCGTATTTTTCTTTCTTCCATAAAACCCAAGACGTTCCGTCAACGAAATGAAGGTAAATTCCTTGTATTAGCCACATGAATTATGCAAATTTATAAAGGAGTTTAAAAAATTCCCAAACGTTAATTAAAAAATTCGTGGCTTTAATTTCTCCAGGGGGGTGGTGGTGGAAAAAGCTTTGGGGACATACGTTGTTCGTAAATATTTCGACACTCAAAAATTTATCGCATATCCCCACAAAGAGTGCATGATTTGAACATTCGAGCCTAAATTGAAGACATAACGAACAAATAATTTTCCATTGCCCGTTTCTATAGTTAAGCTTTTTTTAAATTTTCCCTTTGATGTAATTTTGTACTATAAAAGAAAACCGATTGGCATTTTCCTGTAAGAATGTCTAATAATCGAGACCCATTCTTCCTAAAGCCCCAATTAAAATTGTTTGACTCTACTATACCCTAAGGCTAAAGCGGATGAAGATTAGACAATATTGTGATGATCAAGAAATTGTTTCCTCTTGTCATCAGAGTAAATTGTCAATCTAACCTTGCGATCATTTGAAACGTTTAAATCGATTTTGTTAAGAAATCCTTTGGACACATTCTACAGAGTTCCCACTTTTTCGGAAATTCCTATCAGCCCTGACCCTGACAATTTTTCGGCGAGTGGTGCAATTTTATCTCTGCAACAAAACTATTTTTACCAACTGGAGTTTATTTCTATCGTACCACTCTGTCTCATTCAAAAAATTCTCAATACGGATATATTTATATAATATTAAAAAATTAAATTTCGTCTACCTTACACCATGACACATACAACCCACATACACATCTCACGTCTTGGGTTGCGTTCGCCCATAAAAATAATAATTTTGTAACTTTTTTATTTAATAGAACTACTCAAATTACATGTTTGATGGCGGAAAGACCAAAAATATAATTGGCGATAGTCTAATTAATGCAGCTATTTAATCGTGTTAATCAAACATAATCTGGCACTCTCTTGGGCTTGTCACCCCATTAAACATGTAGCTTATTTTATTACGTAGTGCCACAGAATCAAACTATAATTGAAAGTTTATACTTTCCAATAATAAAACAATTGAGGTTACCCAAATTAAATTTATACAACTACGCTAAAAATACAGAATTGAAAACTTGAATTTTCCTGTATGGTGAAACAGAAACGTTTGTACTTGGATCCGATATATTAACTTTTTATATATTTATTTTTAAAAACTAAAAAAAATTTTAAAATTAATAATCTATCAGTAAAATAAAAGTGCCGTGAATATGAACCACCTAGTCTATAACCAACATTAGCTATCCTCTTAGATTTCATGATGGCTTTATGTGCGCAGTTGGTCGCGAAGCCAGTGACGCCTCAACTTTCTATGGGGATCGGTAGGGAAAACGTGGAAAGGTCAGGAATGAGGGAGTTTGAGATAATTGGAAAAGAGAAAATTGGATTGGAATTTGAGGTCTCTTGACTAGGTCAGTAACATGGAATTCATAATTTTTAGTGGGAGTATGGTTTCTAACAAAAAGGTTTCACCGTCATGATTTTGAGGAATTTTTGAGAGGATGAAGTAGGGATTCTTTTTATAGTTGCAACCTTTAAGTCCATATTTGATGCAATCGGATGTAGGAAATGGAATTTTTTTCAGGTAGGAGGGGCTATTATTTCTTTGAGAGCAAAGTACCATGTTGGGATTTATTTTTATTGTTAATTTACATAACAATGGTTCCTATCTTTACCGTTTCAGTCCTTAAGTCCGTATAGAGAAGGTAGCGGAGCTTTACAAGGCAGGATTTCTTTCTTAAGTGTCCCTAGAAAGACATACTCGTAAGATTTTAGGAAAAAAATCAGGAGAATGGTGGACAAGTAGTACAAGAGTATGGCTCGTGACTGAAAGGAGTACTGCGGATCTAGTTTTTATTGCGGGTAGATTTACTAGAAGTACTAGAAAAAAAGGTAACAAACTAACTGGCGGTTAGCACTCTGTTTAAAGTAAACAGGAAGGTGAAAAGAAGTGCGTAGCAACGATTAATGGAATCTGTCAGCGATGTAGCCTCTTTGTCCTCATTGAGACCTCTCCCAACCCTTGCGGGGGGGGATCCAGGCGCAAAATAATGGTGCAGCATTGAGGGCATGGCAGCTTCTAAAGCACAAGCTGGATTCGGTTCGGCAGGGGACGGCGGGTGCTTTATCAGAGGCACACGAGAGTTAGGGTACCAGATCCTGTCTGCATAGACGGGGGGGGGGTGCTTAACCATCTGTACTACGGGGTGGCAGAAATGTTCCAAAGTCCAGCCTCAGCTACATGGGAACGGGCTCTTAGTGGCGATGCTCCTGGCCGGAACTTACAGAAGAGGCTGTTTTTCTATCTGTGACCTCCGCCCAAGCACTTGCGTATGACCTTCGTTATAACCCCGGCCTCACGGGATACGAAGGATCGGACGATCGAAGCGTATAGCGTTGATGACGCTTAGACTACGCTGACGGAGTCCCTCAAATGCATGAGAAGTGGCGGATGGGAACGAATGGTGGTCGGTGGTGCCTACATGGGCGTCCTTTACCGAAGGCAGTCTCCTCTAGGGGGTGGTTAGGAATTCCACTTTAAACAAAACCGCAGCTGGAGCGGGTCCGGAAGTACTTACGCTGGAGGAGTCTCAATACTTTGGGAGATAGAAGTGGCTTCTCTATCTAAGGAGTGAGTGGGAGACAAGGTTGATGCATTTCAGCTCGTTACGTTCGGCATACGGTCTGATGCTCGATGCAGACCCGACAGGTACGGACGCTAAAGATTCTCATTGTCCATTTAAGGATGACCGAATATTTTGGAACGCATGACCTCTTTGGGATCCTGATGAATAAAGTATTGAAAGCTGCCAAGTTACAAATGCTCAGCTTTCAAATCGACTTAAGGTAGAGCAGGTAACTTAAAGTACTTAGGACCGCACCAGAGTAATGACGGAGTGGTAGATATAGAGGTATGGGCGATGGAACAACGCTAGTAGGTTGTTCTGTGCTTTCTGAAGGACTTACGTTACGACCGCAGAATCTCCAAGGGCACCAAAGTCAAGGAAGCCAAATTGGTGGTCAGGCATAACATTGTGGTTAGGAGCTTCTCAACTTCTTTCCCGAGTAAAGGTTAGAGGATATTGACTACAACATGTGCGAGTTATTCGTATAGAAGAGATCTAGTTTTATGTTCGTGGGAATATTGTTATTAAGTGTTACGTAATACTTATTACGTATGGTTGACATAAAATATTATTTATGTAACTTTTGATTGGTTTTATGGTGTTTAATCTTCGGTTTATTTTTGTTTTCAGAAATCATCAGGGAGTTCTCGGTGGACGAGACCTCTTTCTTTTGCTGAAGCTGCTTCACGACAGCAACTCACCTCACGTACCCCATGGCCGAGTACAGGCACAATAACTCCGTGCGACCGCACGTCAAGAAAAGATACCAAAACTATTTTTAACCGACCCTCTCCTCCAACCCAAAAAAACCAAAACCGATTTTTTTTTCTTTTAAACTCTCAGGTATTTTTGTAAAGTTTTGGCTGTGATAGTAGTTAGTAAATTGTTAACGCCTCGGTCGGTGTCGCGTTCCGCCGGGACAAAGAGAAATATATATTGAAACTTTATTTTATTTCGGACGATTTTAGCGTTTAGAACGATTTGTAAATTTGAATAAAATGGAAGAGTTCGCGGACGAAGCGCTTTGGCTGGTGATCGTTAGTTTTATCGTTGCTTTTGTACTCGCGTTTGGAATCGGTGCGAACGATGTGGCCAACTCTTTCGGCACTTCAGTCGGATCCAAAGTCCTCACCGTCCGCTCCGCCTGCATACTCGCAACCATCTTTGAAATGGCCGGAGCAATCCTCATCGGTAAGTACTGATTCAATTTATATTTACGTCTATAAGGACACGTGTCAAATTAACTTCTTTACGCACATTTTTTTTACTGAGATCTTTGCCAGTTGAAAATTGGAGGACGGGTCATTCTGACATGGCCAATTGCTCGCAAAGTATATGGTAACGGAAAAATATAATCATGTATGACGCAGAGTCTCAAATATATGGAATGATTTACCTTAGATGTTATGTATTTGTTCATTTTAAATTAGGATAAGCCACACTCGAATGACACTTAGCATTTGCGAAACGATTAGGATTTTCCAATCCAATTTGTACAGAGAGGCTGTATGACATGTACGATGTTATTTATTTACTGTTTGTCTACATATTTATCTGTTACCCTTTATGTGTTTATTCTAATTCCTATTGGCCACACTTGTTAGACCAAAACATGTCGATTACATGGTAGCACTTCAATGAATCCAGAATTTCACCCAATTTAGTAGGGACAAACGAAATACGGCCATTCGATACCAGTGTGTCGAAAGAAATACTACTACTAGATTTTGCCACCCGTTTATTCTGATTAGCATAGGCACACTCCATTAACCCATGTGACTTGGAAAAATTGCGATCTGCACTTAAAAAAGGGAGGTGAAGGACGAAATACTCCCTTCGATTACACATGTCTAAATTTGTAGCTGTTGTCATTTAGAAGTATTCGGACTTCGAATAGGCCACACTCGAATGACCCTACTAACTTCAACTTACGAATGAACTTATTACATGGTAGTCGTACAAGAAAAAAACCTATGCCTACAATCCTAGACTTTTACCTTTTGTCCTGATAGGGAATTGACGGGTGATCATTGTGAATTTTTACAATGTAACACTTCCATCTGTCCCAGAAAACTTTAGGGTAGACAAAATATGATGATATATCGAAATACACTAGCAACATTTTGGCCGGCTACCTTTTTGCGTTTATTCGCCGGAAGAAACAGTTTTGCAAATGTAGACATAGCGCGTGGATATAACACTTGTAATAAATAAATAAAAAAATGTGTGCAGTTTAGTTCATTTATGATGACTGTTAAACTGTACATTATATTACATTGTATTAAGCAGTCTGGGTATAAGGTCATCTCTTAAATGATAAACCCAGTATGGTTTTTTTTATGTAATAGTTTATGCTTTGCCTTGAAAACTGTCATTTTTGAAAGTAAATAATGAAGCATCTATATATCCTGCCGATTGTCATTTTAGAATGATTTTGCTCTTTTATATATTTATCAAACCTCTTGTTTAATAAAAGATAATATCTGACATCATCATAGATACAAACAATTTGCCGTATAGTAGCCGTTCAAGGAGTGTATCTTTGATGAAATCTCCTATCCAGTTGTCGGATGATTCATGGAGGTGTTTTAGAATGATTTTTGCTCTTTTATGTATTTATTTAACCTATTATTTAATTAAAAAGAAAATATCTGACAGTCGTCATAGATACAAACAATTTGCCGAGGGTAGCCGTTCAAGCAGTATATCTTTGATGAAATCTCCCGTCCAATTGTCCGATGATTCATGGAGGTTAGACCAGACGGCCGTCTCACGATGAGCCGGCTTTGATACTCGTCATCGATTAAATCTATCCCTTCGGCTACAAACCCGATTTTCAATATTCCGATTTTCTAATTACCAAATTTAAATAAATTTCCCGAGCAAGAAAGAAGTATGGAGAAAGCTCAACCTCGATCTGAGTCGGGCTCTCCAATGGTAAAAGACCCGTTACCATTATAATAACCGGCAATTACATCGTTACTGCAGCGTCACCTGTAAATTTACCATTTAAAATTTTATCGCCGCGCTCGACTGGAACATTTGCCTATAATTGGAATGACGTTTTAGAACAGAATGTAACAACAACCAGACGTTTGCATTTAATCAAAGCTTTCCAATGTGATAAATCAAAAGCCAATTTAAATGTTAATAATTAGGCCAAAATGACCTACAACGTCGAAATTAAGGTTTTTCATAATCCTGATAACTTGGGTTATATTCTAGATACTTAAAATTTACCTATTTTACTTATCATCTTGTACTTTTCATTTCTAAAAAACATTCTTCCTTCAAAATAGACACTCATTGTGGGTTGTTCCGATATTTCCTATTATTAATGTAATGTGACGTTTCTTCCTTCCATTGTTGGTCATTTCATAAATAAGTTTGCCAAAACTGTCAACTTGGATTTTATAATTGTACTTCGCCATTTAATGAATAAGCCTGCCAAGGATTTCTCGCAGTCTTAATTTGTCCTTAGGCTAACTATGTGGATCGTGTTTATAAACTTTAATAATTAATTAGATGTAAAAGTCGTCTGGCTAGGGTCGAGTGCTAGAAATCCAATAAACAGTATTTTTTTTAAATTCGATTTGAAACTTCCGCGACACCATCGAAATATAACTATTGTATAATTAGGCTCATTGCCCAAAACGCTTCTCTCCTAATTAAACCCCGAAAACAATAGTACGGGGTTGGCAATTTATTTCTTCAATTTGCCCTATTGAGACGAAGAAGGGTGTGATTTCATATCACCATTATGTAAATGAAAACATGCACAGTGCGTGTTGGTCTGATGGGTGGTAAATACATAATTTATTTATAGAGTTTCTTAATATATATTTTTCAAATCATTTATTTACAACAAAAGAATTATAGAACATCTATAGACAGTTTGATCGTAGTTTTGGTCCGCTTGTGTCAGTTGGTATGAAGATGATGGCTATTGTTGGGTTTTTGGTCACCAAGCACAGCAGCCTTCTTCTGTTTAGTATCGTTGATGATGATGTCTATTAGGAAGTGGGTTTTTTGTTCATCAAACACATCAGCCTTCTTGTGTTTAGTATCGTTGATGATGATGTCTATTAGGAAGTGGGGTTTTTGTTCACCAAGCACAGCAGCCTTCTAATAATTCCTTAGTTCAGTGTAATCAACTCGAGCCTTCGACTAAGAAAGGTCTTTGCTAGGTCTTTTTGATTTAATTTATCCCAGATTATGTCTCCATTGAGCGGTTGCTTTTCGCATTTGAAGTTGATAAGGCTATTCCTTCCTTCCCATTGCATAATCCACAGATGTGCTAGTTGAATTTGTCCTCTGAGTTCTTCAGCCCTCTTTGAATGTAGCAGTGAGTTTGCTCGTCTTGATGAGGGTTGTGTTAGCAAATGCGTACTGTGTCTACTTCTAGAGTTGATCCACTTCTACTTTTTTTTTATCTACTCTGTGGAGGAAGATTCTGTGTTTGTTTTTGTTATCCCAATAAAAGGGTTTATATATTATCTTGGAGATCATCATCTGGCCAGTGTGTCTGCCTTTTCATTACTAAAAATTCCTTTGTGCCCTGATACCAAGTTATCATCGGGCTATTGTTTTTGCCCAACAATTTGGAAATTTTCGTTGCTTTTGCTGACCTTATACTTTAATACTATACTTTAATAGCAGCTCGGCTATACAATCTTATAAGGATTTTTTGCCAGTATAATCTTTTACGATTTTCTAAGGCCTTGATGGCATATATTTCAGCTTGAAAGATCGAGGTGTAATTCCCTAATGAGTTTGATTGCTCATGTTTTTTTTTAAACGCCTGTTATTGTATCTGATGTTCTCCTGAATTCTTCTTCTCCATTGTAGTCTGTTTAGATTTCATAGGATGTTGTAAAGAGTTTAGTATTTATTTATTAGGAGAGATGTTTTCTGTGATATTTCATTCGCCCTTATGGTCAGGCTTTTGTCTACTTATCAAGTTTTATTACTTCCAATGGAAGTGTTACAGAAAATAATCAGACAGGAAGAAACCAGTCAGATTGAGAAATATCACATCATATCTGATAAAGAACATCAGAAAGCAGGATACGATTCAATTTCATCAAATGATTTCCGACAAGTTACTTTTATACGAGCTTATACTTTTTTCTCTTGATCTGATTAATCTTAATAGAATAATTTTACTGAACATTTAGCAGAAACACGTATTTTTGATTGGTAGCACAATAACACAATGATCGGAAACGACCTTTCTTCAAAATTACATAAAATATGAAGGCGTTGCAATTATGGTCATTTTTGCAGTTTATTCTACCCTCATGCTAGAAAATTAAACATTGCACACAGCATCAACAAAAAATAGCTACCAACCTCTACTCAAGTCAGATATTTAGTACCAGAAGGACTTAACACTTGAGTGACAACTTGGACAGATGCGAAGACTTTCAGAATTGAAATTTGTTGACCGTCAAAACGCAACTAATTCTGTTCGAGACATAAGTCATAACCTCTTTGCCTTCGAATATCCAGCGCATCCAATCTTTCCTGTCCTCAAACAAATTATCAAAGCTGCTTTCTACTTTACTAACCTCACAATCTCAACCAACGTAACATTTCTTCTCAATGAACTGATCCGATCCCACTTCCAAAACTTCCAGAGTAAACACACGTTCCATCTAACCCTACTGCCAAAGTCACATGAACACTTTCTCATCCTGAGAACTACATGGCTGGTTTCTCATAACATATTACGTTTCGATGCAGTACTGACCATTTTTTCAGTCTTGTGACCGAGGGAAAACCGTATGTGAACATATTTTTAATATGTATTTTTGTATGTACCTGACCCTACTTTAGAGTAACCCTACCTAACCTAACCTAATCCTAACCCAACCCAACCCAACCCAACCCAAACCAAACCAAACCAACTTAACCTAACCGTAGCGTTTACCTAACAAATCCCTAACCTAAAGCCAACTCAATCCTACCTTACCTAACTAAACAAACCAAAATCAAGCGTTGATATCCATATTATATCCATGTTAAAACAGATTTGTTTTTGAGAAAAAATAGCTCTGCTTTCCTTATAATCTCGTATCAAAAACCTCGCATATTCCAATAAATTCCATACTTTTAGTTTCTTATTTTAAATTAATAATAATCCTCTTTATTTTTGAGGAAACAAAGTTAATGTTCAAAAGATACACTTA